ACTACTGAGCCACACCCTGCTGGGCTGTTTATATCCTTAATATGAGTTTTTAAAAGTCTAGAAAGATATGTACAACAATGCTTATATTGTGGCAAAGAAGATAGAGGTAATTTTTCATTGATTCACATATCAAATTTTTCTAAAATGAACACATTACTTAGAAGGCTACCTATGCTGAGGCAAAGAAGAGAGGCAAAATAGGAAGGCAAGTCCTACTCATGGATCAATGCTATTTCAGAAAGAACAATAGGAAATTATTTCGGGGGGGAGCGTGGGGGAATGGTAAGGGACCCAAGCATCTCCACTGTCTATTACAATTAAAATAGGAGCTAAAAAGCTTAAAATGCAAAAATTGTTACTAATTTATCGAAGGTTATGTCTAGTAAAATACATTAAGTCATGCTCTCATTGGCCGTCCCGATATTGGTAAGAAGAAGGGTTAAAAAGAGGGCAAGAGGCACAGGGCACCTAAAAAGGGAAGTGATCTACATGCCCTCTACTTCCTTATTTACCATTCACACCTCAACTCTTCTGATCTTAATGAACCCTTTCAAACTTCTTATTTATATGACCACTTTGTGGCTCACTCCTTCAAAACATTTATTGAACACATACTATGTTATACGCACTATGCTTGGCTACCTGATTCAGTGCTAAACACAGGTCCCTGTTCTCATGCACTCTGAGTAGAGCAGGAAGACTGTCGGCAACACTTATGAGTGACAAATGATTAGTATTATGGCAAGAAATCACACACAGATAGATATGACCTGGAAGAGACAGAAAAGACCTTTCTAAAAGTACAATGTTTAAAAGGAAACCCAAAGAGTAGAAGATAAACCGAAGAACAAGAAGAAAAGGAAGGGTGTTCTAAGGAAAAGCAAATAGTACCTGCAAAAACCTGAAGGAAAAACAGAGAGTACAGTGCACATAAGAAGCTGAAGAAGTTTACTCTAGAATGGTGAGGCTTTTGGTATAAGCAGGGCCTAAAAGGCATATTAGTCTAAGACTTTATTCTATGGAAAAGGGGGAATGACACAAAACCTCAGATTTATATTTTTTGAGAAATCAATATTTTCCTACTGCCATCAGAATGGAAGGCAACAAAAATGGATGCAGATGATATAGATGGGCTCTTGAAACTCTTGATATCTATGAAAATAATTTCCTTATACCTCTTTCTTTCTTAGATACTTTCAATATACATTATTTTCTTCTGCCACTTTAACACTACAGCCTTTCCTCAACTCTACTACAAATTCTCCAGGGTGACCTCACCTATACAACCCTTCTGATAATTTCGAAACCTGTATCCCCGGTCCAGATGTCTGAAAGCCAGAGCTGCATTTCCTACCATTTATTAGACATGTCCATCTATGCAATGCCCTACATCCAAAACTAAAAACAAGATTCAGACCACACAAATCTGGTATTTCCTAATTCTGTTGATGACACTAATGTCGTCACCCAAGCCAGAAATTCTAAATGCCTTTAATGACCTGTTTTTCTACTATCAATTACCAGAGAATTTTGATCATCTTCTAAACATGACTCAAACCCATCCTTTCGTCTCTAATACCAGTGCCTAAATGTATATTGCATAAATTTTCATCTCGATTACTCAGTGACTGGTCCTTATACTTCCAGCAACTTTGTCTAATCCATTCTCTACATCAGCTGTTCTCAACCTGTGGGTCGCAACCACTTGGGAGTCAAACGACCCTTTCACAGGGGTCGCCTAAGACCATCGGAAAACACATATATAATTACATATTGTTTTTGTGATTAATCACTATGCTTTAATTATGTTCAATTTGTAACTGAAAATACATCCTGCATATCAGATATTTACATTACGATTCATAACAGTAGCAAAATTACAGTTATGAAGTAGCAACGAAAATAATTTTATGGCTGGGGTTCACCACAACATGAGGAACTGTATTAAAGGGTCGCGGCATTAGGAAGGTTGAGAACCACTGAAGCTTCATTTTAAATGAAGCTTTATATTCCTCTTTTTTTAACCAGGGAATAGCCAGTTTAAGATTGAGCTCTCCTATCTTGGAGATTTTGGGGAAAGAGGTGTTTCAGAGGGGATCTACAGTTTTGAAGAACATAAAAATAATTCATCAAGAATCTGAAAGTTGTAGTTCTTTTAGAGCTGCTTTATAAGGTATCTCAGGTGTAAAAAAAAGAGAGAGAGAGAGATAATACTTGATTAGAACAGTGACTAATTTACCTTCATTATTCTTCACTGTAATAATGTTCCTAGTTTATATCACTGATTTGAAATACTTCTAAAACTTCCTATGGTTTTCAGCTCATCAGAAACACAGTGATGAATAGCAAAATTACTCTAACTGCTCTGAGCTTTAAAAACTTCAGCACTACAGCAGAATGGTACACATTTTTAGACATATTAAAGATTAAATATAAACTGGCAAAATTCTGTAGGACTTAGAGCGCTGAAAATAGATAGGCTATGAAATAGTTTTCCAGAAATACATATTTTTCCTAGAGAACTTAAGTAATTGAAATTTGTAATAAAAGTACATATGCAAGACATTACAATAGGCATTGCAGGAATACAGAGTACTAAATACTAACTTAGTGTTCTTATGTCAAAAGCATATGCCCACAGAACTAGGTGATAGAATTATTGATATTTATTCATCCACTCAGCAGATTTTTAGAAAGCACTTACTCTGTTCCTAGTTGTAATCCTAGGAGCTACTAGACATAGAGCAGTGAACAAAACAGATAAAACTCCTGCCCTCCTGGAGTAGGGTAGTGGGTTGAGATAGATAATAAAGAAGAAGAAAAAAAGTAAAACTAAATTGGTATAAGTGCACATGAAAAAATAAAGTAGGCAAAAACAGATGGAGAGGGTGTAAAAGCAAGTGGGGAAGCCAGCCATGTGGGCTGAGGAAAGACATTCTGAGCAAGACACTCTGAAAGAACCAAGGCCCAAAGGCCCATAATATGCTTATTATGTATGTTTAAGAACAGCCAGCAGGCCAGTGTGGCTAGAACAGAATGAAGGAAAGGGGCGAGCTGTAGATGTGGTTGGAGAGCAGGGGGTGGGGGTGGTGAAGCTCCTGGAGGAGCATTTCAGCAAGGCTTTCACGGACAGGTAGGATAGAGACAGGTTGAAATGAGGGTGGTAGGTGATGCCGGGTAATTAGAACAAGGGAAAACAAAAGACAAGGAACCAGAGTTGAAGATGTTTAGGAGTCAGAAGCTGGTCCAGTGTATGAGTACACATGCAAAGGTGAGGGAGCATGAATGTGAGGGAAGGGGGTCGTGGGGGAGGGGTGGTGGTGAAGGTGGTTTATGATAAATATTCATTCTTTGATCCTCAGTTTAGAAACTGTGGAAGAGAGACACAGAGTACTAGGAGGAAAGGCAAGTATTTGCTGCCCCTTTAATATAACCCTTTGCTTTCCTTGTCAAGAATAAAATCCTACTCCAGAGAGCTGCTTTAGCTGTTATAAAGAAAAAAAGTAGAGGTCTTCGGATTTTTGTGGGGAAAAGCACTTATATACATGGTGAATCATAAGACAAAGATGACTAAAAGGGAAGACTGAGAAGGCAAACAGGAATTTCAATTTTTTAAAGAGCATTCCACAAAATGACTAATCCACGGGTAAACAGCTGAGTTAATTACCTATTAATTCTACATAAAGCAAAAGAGGATCCTGTTATAATTACCCACTTTGAATTCAAAGGTATACAAGGCAAGAGCTGGGACCTACCTCACAATTCAACACCCCATACAAATCTAGAACAGTGCCTCGCACAGAAAATTCAAGTGCCTGTTTAAGGAATAGAAAGCCTACACTTCACAGTCCATACCAGGAGAATAAAACAGCACTAGAGCTGTCATAGCACCACCTTAAATTGTTTGTATTAATGGGAGCATATTAAACAAAAGCAGAAAAAATAGGAAGAAAGAATGCTTTCCTTCCATACCGCCACCTGTGCAAAACCACCACATACCCCCGAGGAGCCTACAGGTTACTTTCCATATGACATACACGGCCCTTTCAGCAAGAGTGTTGTTTGGAACAATGGGATTACATGTCGTGAATAAATCCCATGAACAGAGCTGTTGCAAAATCGAAGGAAATCTCCCTTCCTATACCCATATGAGTTGCATTAAGGCTCCCTTTCTGCGACAGAGAACGCAACGCACGAGGCGATCTAAAACAATCTCCTTCCTCCTGATCCTTGAAGAACTCGGCGGATGTAGGGAATTGGGGTTGCTTCTCGATGTTTTCTTAAACCCCAAACGAAGAGCAACTCACCCTCACTGGTCTCAAGTGATGCAAAAGAGCACAATTAAAAACACAGCAGCTCTTACCCACTCTTGGTCATGGGATGTTATGAATCCCAGAAAGTAGAAAGAAAAAAAAAAACACAACAAACAATCATCAACCAGATACAAAGGGTGAAACTTCTGCCAGGAAAAGCATCTTTCTACAAAGGATGTTTGTGCTCACGTCATTCTGACCCAGTGTTAGGTTGTGTACAGTTATAACCGAGAGACGGCTTTTCATACGACTTTTTAAATGAAGCCCATCCGTTTTAAAAGGTGTGTGTGTTTTTTTGTAAGTGCAAATGTCGGAATGTCAATATTCTTTCCTGTCGCCCGTGAAGCCTTTTTCCAGGCTGAAGCTCAAACATCCTCAAGTGCGACTCCGGAGCAGATCTGAACCCCCCTCGATACCACAAACAAGCGTCAGCACGCCTTCACACCACAAAAAAGTACAACGGCGGTTTGCCGAGGTGTGCGGTTAGTTCTGCTTCTCGGTAGCGATTTGAGCAAGCCATGCACACAGGGTGCTCCGAGCCGAGGAAGCGGGACCCCAGCCGCTTTCATCTCCAAGACGCAACAATAAAAGCATCCTCTCCGGTCCTCCTCCTGCACCCCAAAACCCTCTTCCCGGGGGCCCGCGCCCGCAGGGAGAGAGAGCCGGGCTCGGGCCGGCCGGCCTCACCTTGTAGACGTCCCCGTAGGTGCCGCTGCCGACCCGCTGGACCAGCTCGTAGTCCTGCTGCGGGTTCCGCCTCAGGATGTCCGCCGCAGGCCGCAGCGGGGCCTCCATCTTCGCTCCGCGCCTGCCCCGCCGGCTCTGCCCGCGGCGCCCGACTCCCGCTAACGAGGACGAGAGGCGCCGCTTCCCAACATGGAGCCTCTGACCGCAGCTCCGCCTGCACGAGGGACAGACCAGCAAAGGCGGGTCGGCGCCGCGGGCGACGACCCCGAGCGGCCCAGCCCCCTTCCTTCCGCCGCCGAAGGGCGCGAAGAAGCGGACCAGGAAGAGTCCCCGGCGCCCCGCAGCCCCGTCCCGACCGCAGCCCTTCCCCTCCGCGGCCGCCCGCGCACTGTCCGGCCCGGCTGCCCCCGTCCGCTGGGCCCGGGGCCGGCTCGGTACCTGAGGGGGCGGCCCCGCTGCGTGGAGCGCCGCGCCCGGACCTACTTCCTCGCCGGCGCCTGCGTCCTACGTTCGGCGCCTGCGTCCTGCTTCCCAGCGGCGCCCGCTTGCCCACCCGCCGCTCCCCGTCCCGCGCCGCCGACCCCTGTGGCACCGCACGTCCTCGCGGGCGGCGGAGACGCGTACGGTGGCCGCCGCTGCAGTCGCACCACGTTCGCCACTCGGGGCTGCGTCACCGGGAGACACGTTCCCGGCCGGCGGGTGTCGGCGCCCAGCGGCTGTCCCGCCCGAGCGCGCCGGCCGCGGGACCAGAGCGCCGCCCTGAGGCCGGGTCGGGGCACGACAGCCTCCCGGGCGCGCCCCTGGCCCGGCGCGTCTGCGTGAGGCCCAGGCGCTGTTACCCGCTGCAGAGAGTAGGGGCGCCCTGGGCGTTCATTCGTGGGCCGGCCGGCCTCGGCTCCACGGCCCCCAGATGTGTCAGGTAAACGTAGCGACGGGTAGAGGGAGGAGGGGGGGCGCGAGGGCGAAGGGAACGCACCCTCGCCGGTCACGGAGAAAGGACGTTGCGGGCCCCGGGCCAGCAGGAACCTGGCACCCGGGCGCCGGGAGAGAGGTGGGGGAGTGCCAGGTGAGCTGAGTCGCGGCACACCCTGCTGCACCTTCCTGTTTTGCAAACCCTTCCCGGTGGGACCAGTTTGAGGCCGCACCGCACACCTGCACAACCTGTCTTCTGCGGAGTTTTCCCCTGAGACATTTCTAAAAACCTGAGTTCCTCCGAAGTGCCGGTGACTTTGGTTCCTGTTGGACACACGCGCTGTCGCACCGCGGGGTATCGCCCCTGGATGGGATCATGGGTTCTGCAGAAGCAGACACAGTGGCAGGCACCGCGACCTGGTTCTGGTTCTACCGCTTCCTCGGCATGTCATCTGGGACAGGCCATTGTATTAGGCAATGTCTCACTCTCCTTATCTGTAGCTTGAAAGGGATCCAGTTTTGCACCTGACATCCAAGAAAGTGTTTGTAAAGCATTTCGCAGGATTATGAAGAGGCTGGTCAAATAGAAGAGGTGTAAGGCCTGGCCGGTGGCTCAATGGTTAGAGCGTTGGCCTACCACCCCACCCCCTCCAGGCGCCCACGGGAGCCAACGAATCTATGTCTCTCTCACACATTGATGTTTTGGGGGGGGTTTTTTTGTCTCTCTCTCTCTCTCCCTCCCCCCTCCCATTATGAAAAGCAATGGAATAAATATCCTCAAGTGAGGATTAACAAAACAAACCAAAAAAAAAAAAAAAAAGCAAAAATAACTTCACAGTGTACAGGCTATCAAACAGGAGTTCCGGGAAGTAATTTGATATTTCACAAGCTGTTTTGCAGTTTCAGTTCCAGTCTTGTTATGAAGGTAGAAATAAATTTGCTGGACTTATGTATACTGGCAAAACTATTCCTAGAGCCCAGTAGAAGTTCTGAACAGAAAAGCCAGATGACACACAGCCAACACATTGAGGGGCTGAAAAGTAAAAGAACAAGTTGCAGGCGTCGGCTTGTGGCTTTGAACATCCAATTCAATTCCGTTCTTGGGCAGTAGGCTCCTTGTTGATCACTGTAATCAGTCGTATAATGTAGAAATTAAGTCCACACCTTAACAGGACAGGGAATATATGTATTTTCTTGTGCTCCATGCACAAAGGGCACTTATTTAGGGAACATAAGCAAGCTCAGACCTAAGAGCTTTATGGACAAAGCTTATGTGTTTGCTGTATTGAAAAAATTGTTGAAGAACAGTTCGTCCTTTCAGAACTTCTTGGCACTTGTTTTGGTGGGCACATACTTTTGGCTTCAATGACTCAAAATCTTTTCAAAAGTTCTGTTGGTGTCCTTGTACTTGTTTGCTGTCATAGATTCTCTTTTCTTTTTTCATCTCTGACGCTATAAGCATTGATCCTTTCTGTAGTCTGAAAATTATGTATTCTTACTTATTTATACCTGCATTATTCTACAGAAAATTTAAGACATTGTACAGAAAATACATGCTATAACACAAGACAAAAATAAATAAACGAGGCAACAGGTATGATGTTAAAGAGAGGGAAAATAGGGTAGTGGAACAATGTAACAAATTAGCCAACGTAGAGTTTTATAGTGTTTTGTGAGATCAGTCAAGAGAGAGGCATATTTTTTCCTGATACTCAGACTTCAGAAAAATTTACCTCATGAGCATTCATAAAGTGGAAACTTGGAATTCCCAGTTTGAAACGAGGATAATTTCCTTCTGATAATCCTCCAAGCATGTTATTCTTGAAACAGTGTTTGATATGAACTAAGCAATAGAAAATTTGAGGTCAGAGGTTTCAATAAGACCCTGGGATGAAGATATTTTATGTTTCCAGTAATGGCAGGTCCATATGCTTTGACCATCAACTCAGAGGTGGTTAGCATGGAAAAAGTTGGGATTCTATGTGGTGGTTAAAAAGTATGTCTGCTATAATCATTATTTTACTTGTACCACAATTGATGCAGAGGAAAGCATTTGCTTTATATTAACTCCAAAGAATTTTCGGGATTTTAAAATTCGTACTGGTTGAATTAATTTTAGTTAGATTGGTGAAGTCATAGCTAGTGGTTAAATATTACATGATTGGTAAAGAAATTCAAGTTCAAGTTCCATAAAATAAACATACAGTGCATAAATTTAATTTTACATGCTAAGCAATTAAGCATATAGTTTCAAGGTTGACTGTTACATAATAATTATGTAACAAAAAAATTGTAGCTAACAGGTAAGTTTTATACAAACTACCCAATTTGATGATATGGTATAGAATAAGAATATATATGGCTTGATAAGCCCTTCATCCCAACCTAATTATCTTATATTCTTAGTGTCTTCATAATATCTGTTATGTAACTACGATATTTTTCTGTGTATAAGATGCTATTTTTTCCCTAAAATCATTAGACTGAAAATCGAGGGGCATCCTATACATGGAAGTCTGTCAAGGAGGGAGCTGCACGGGTGCCTAGCTGCCCATACTTTGTCAAACAGGCTTCCTCCAATCAAGAGCCTTATTGTTAGTGACGTCAGCTTATGTCGTAATTGGAGGTAGAGGTGGAGAGTGCACAGATGCAACAGGGACTGGAGCGTTCTGAGCCCATAAAGATGTCAAAAAATAAAAAGATAAAAACTGGTAAGTGATTGTCTTACTCTGCAAAATTCAAACTGAATGTAACCAGGTATGCAAAAGAGCATGGAGATAGAGCTGCAGAGAGACAATTTGGACCTCCTCCCACTGAGTGTCTGATCAGACAGTGGAGAAAACAGGAAGAATAACTCAAGATGCCACAAAGAAGAAGACCTTAAGAGGAAAACCAGCAATATGGGCAAACTTGGAGCAGAGGCTTAAGACTTGGATTATGGAGTACTGCCAGAGTGGCTTATGTGTGTCAACCAAGCTTACTCAGTGTCAAGCAAGAATGTTTGCAAGCAAAATGAACATTGTTGATTTTACAGGAAAGGCAAAATGGTGCTTCAATTTCATGAGGAGAGACGGGTTGGCCATGAGAACACGAACAAAGCTCAGAAAATGCCACCAGTTTTTGAGGGTGCTCTCACATATATAGGCAATGACTCAGAAGATAGCAGTGATACAATAGAAGTTGAAGAAATTGATATGTCTGGAACTAATAGTGATAAAGAAGAGAGCAGCGATGCAACAGAGGCTGAATAAAATGATATGCTACATAATATCATAGTACTGTATGTAAAAATTACCTGCAGCAATTACTAAATAAAAATGTGTTCTGTTTTATGTTTAAAATATTGATTTCTTAATTTTGGGTTGGAAAAGTGGGAGGCATCTTATACATGGGGGCATCTTATACATGGAAAAATATGGTATATTCCTGCTTTTACTCTATAAATAATGCATAATGGTTCTATGCTTTGCAGTGTTTTTCCCTTCTATAATTTTTTTTTTTAATAAAAGGCTAATTGTAAACTGTGGCCTCGGGTTTCAACTTTAGCCAAGGCTGAATTTTTAAAAATTGGAGACATAAAAAGTTTTAGCTTCTATATAGGTAAGGTTCACAATTTTCTATGCAAGACAGAATGACTAACATAAAACGTAAGGACAGTATTTTAGTCTATAGAACATATAGGTTTAAGCAATGTAATTTCCTGGTGAATCTTCCAACCTAAATTAGTTGCAAAGTATAACTCTATGTGATTGAGTTGGTTGTTCTATAGGTTTGTTAAATATAAATTAATTAAATGTTGGAAGACATCTGCCATAACTATGATTTGGACTTTCAAATCTTAACCTATGTTTTCTTGGCCATAACAGGATATCTCAATTGGTTAGAGTGTCATCCTGATACATCAAGCTTGTGGGTTTAATCCCAGGCAGGGCACATACAAGAATTAACCAGTGAATGCATAAATAAATGGAACAACAAATTGATGTTTCTTTTTTTCTCTCTCTCTCCCTCTCTCCCTTTCTCTAAAGTCAATAAATTTTTTTAAAGCCCTATTATTTCTCTTACTAATTATGTCCAGTTTTCTATGAGGTAAAAACCATGTCCTCAAAGTACATATAGGAAAATTCTATTTTCTACCGGATAGCGGTAGAACATGTATCTCATTCAGAATCAGTAACAAGTCATTAGGATGGAAGTTTTAAACACAAGAGTTGAGCCTGCCCAGAATGGCTCAGTTGGTTGAGCATTATCATGTGCACCAAAAGGTTGCCAGTTTGGTCCCAGGTCAGGGCATGTATGGAGGGCTGCTGATTTATGTTTCTTTCTCTCTCTCTCTTCCTCTTCTTCTCTAGAATCAATAAAAATATTTTTAAAAAAAAAAGTTGAGGAAAGCAGTGCACAACCCATTTTATCCAGCTTGACTTGCTCATCTGATATGTTAAAAGGCTGTTTCTATTTCCCTGATCCCGACATGGTAGTTTTATGGTTTATGTGAGAATTGGTAACGGCTCCTGTATTCAACTCACAAATTGGTCCTGTCTGCAAATTCAGTAACTACGAAAAGATACATATTACAAATAACCTTATGTTGTTCCTTAACAATTTTCTCAAAACATGAGTATAATGTTCAGAAGGGGTGCCTAAAGTTTGCTTCCACCTCATTTAGACTAGTATTTTGAGCAACTAATGCAGAAGAGCCCACAATGCCTGGCTGTGGCCCTATCCTATAGTATACAGCTCTTGCAGGATTCTAATAAGCTCTTTTTTCCCTTGATCCTTTAAGCTAAGAATAATAGCTCCCCACTGTTGCTAGTTTCAGGGTGCTTCACTATCCTTGTTGGTTCCTTTAACCCTGTCCTCATTTTATAAATAGTCCTTTTATTGGCTTCTCTTTCTGTGCTACCCTTTTATTGCCAGAACCCTGATTGCTAGAGGAATTGAAAGTAACCTCAGGAAAGAAATCCTTGCTTCTGGTATGGTATTACTCACATATCTGATGATTACCTT